GTAGTAGTAGTAGTAGTAGTAGTAGTAGTAGTAGTAGTAGTAGTAGTACAGTGAGGCCTCGGGTAACGAGCAGTCTCATTTACGAGCATTTCAGGTAATGGGCAATCCACTAGCAGAAAATATGTTTTGATTGACGAGCTTCCGCTCCGTTAACGAGCTGTCAATGGATTTGTGTGTGTGTGTGTTTGGGTCCGTCGTTGAGTCTTGCTCCCAGAGCGTGAGTTCTCCGTCGCCTACAGCCAATCAGTGAACTGATGCAGTTTCATTGGCTACGTTTGGCAAGACGTATTTCACATGACGAGCTCGGTGCCGGAACGGATTAAGCTCGTTAACCCAGATTCCAATGTATATACATCGGTTGGTTTATTACGCCTATTATAACCCGACTATTACCGTTCCTTGCTTATCCGAACTGCAACAATAAGGTCATTAACGAACAACACTAGCATCTTTTTTAATGACGATTGTTCATGGTGTTGGCAATTACAGTCTTCAGCCAATATGCATGGTTTTTGGTCTCTTGGTATTATTTGGTTTGTGTGCCTAATTTTATTTACGGTGAATGGAGGACGTTTTGCTGAAAATTTTGGAATGACATTTTCAAAATCTGTCTCGCCCAAAAAGTCGGCTAGTCAGTCAGCAAAGAAGTATTATTATGGCACCTCCCCGCACTTTGATCCTCGTAGTTCCCCCCCCCCTCCTCGCTTGAACTCCGAACGGACTGTGATCACTCGTGGTTGCTTCCTCCTAGCTCGCCACCTTGATGGTTGCTTCTGCCGCTATCCCACAATATTTTGATTCCACCTGCAGCAAGTAGTCTCATTCGGTTTAGGATTTATATTTTGACAAGGAAAGTTCCGTGCCCCTATGTACTGTCTCCTGTGGGATGGTTTTATTCAACCCACATATTTAACCCCCATGAGCGACAGTATTTTTCCCCCTTAAAATCTAGTCAAGTCACATTCATTTTGCCTTTTTCAATGAAATTTGGCGAAGTTTTTTCCCTGTTCGCCAAAAACCAGACTGCCCACGCAAACTGAGAACTGCATGGTGTGTGCTTCCTCGTTCTACCATGAATATACCCTTATGGGTACAGAATAAAATAATTTATTCATCTATTACGCATTAGCACAGTGATTGCATCCTATAAATAATGCAACTCCCTGGGCATGAATTACCCGTATCTTATGCCATTTCTCTGATGATA